AAACTACTGCCCAGTGCCGCACCGCCCTCAGGTCCAGTGCTCTGACCAACGTCTCAGGCCACTGTCCTGGCTAGGGTGTCAATCTATGTCACCAGTGTTGGGAGCTCTGGTGCTTCAAACCCACCAGCCGCTCCTCAGAAGGAAGACTGGGCAATCTACTTCCATAGAGACACCACCTCAGAAACCCAAGGAGGAGTTGCTATGGGTCGAGATCCACTTGATGGCAGTGAGTTTGGTTTGGTTTTGATGTCACCAAAGGTCCCCTTGTTTTGCTGACTTAGAATCACTAACTATTTTTATCAAGCACAGCTGGTAAATGGAGCTTTAAGTGGAATATAATTGTTGAATCTTTAAACCTATCGATGAAAGGATTAGTCTGCAATTCCAAACAGTTGTTATATCATCATAGTTTCATTAAAAAAACAAAACAAAACAAAAAAAAAAACTAGGACTACTTCAATTACTAAATCCTTCCATGCATTTTAGGTAAGTGAATATTCCTAAAAATTTATAAGAAGTTGTATTATCTTGCTGCTACCTAAGTAACCAGGAACTGACCCATGACTTCCTTCAGTTCCTCTAACATCCTGTAACTGATGTTCATAAAAGAAATCTACATTCTAACAGTAATTCTACCATATTCCTCACGTCACCCCTAACGAGGCCTGCCCCAGGCTAGTATATGCACACCATGGTGTCAGTTCTTGGTACACTGTTGGAGTCTACATCTGCCAGTGACTGAAGGTACTTAAAAACCTACCATGTGCATTTGCAAAAAGTCTGCATTTCTATCCTACACTTCTTGTTAGCTACTGTGTTTGGACAACATGCTGCAGATATAAGCATAAATCTTCCTGCTTCTAACATTTTGATCACATCTTATTCTTTCTCACATGTCTTTGTTACTTCTAACGAATGCAATGGAGCGCTTTGTGACCCTGCCTCTGGAAACAGAAGGAACATGCGCACTTGTGTACGGGGACTCTTTATTAGCACACTGTAGTAGAGGCAAGATTTCACCTGCGGTATGTAGCTGGCACGGAACAGCAACCAAGAACACAGGTAGTCCCTGACTTAGGACGGGGTTCCATTCCACTGACTCTGTCCAAGTTGTTTCTGACTTAAGTCAAGTAGTTCTCTCTCTCTGTTAGTTTTCGATATAATTGTTGTTGTTGTGTGCCCTCGAGCTGGACTCGACTCATAGCAACCCCTCCTTGGGTTTCCGAGGCAGTATCACTATGGAAGTAGATTGCCCAACCTTCCTTCCGAGGAGTGGCTGGTGGGTTTGAACCGCCGGCCTTCTGGTTAGCAGTCAAGTGCCTTAGCCACTATGCTACCAGAGCTCCTTTTCGTTATAATTAGTATAATCAGTATCTTTATTCCGATCTTTGAATATCTGCAAGTGAACACCAGCAAATTATGCACTGTAATATTTTATGTAGCACATATAACTAATGACAGATGTACAAAGAAGTCCACAGTGGATAGTCGTTAAGTACAGTTCGTCACTGGTGAACACCTCATAAATCAGGACCTACTTGTATTGGTGTTTCTGTCTATAGCATGAGATAGCCTTAGGTCTTCGGGACTCAGTTTCCTCACATGCAAAATAACAAGATGGACAACCTTCAATTCTTTGCTCTTATCGGTGAATATAATCACAAGCTATTCTATACTGGGGAACTCTGGTGGCATAGTGCATAAGGCATTTGGCTAACCAGAAGGCTGGCGGTTCAAACGCACCAGCCACTCCCCGGAAGGTTTGGCAATCTACTTCCATAGAGATACCACCTCGGAAACCCAAGGACGGGTCGCTATGAGTTGGATGTGACTCGGCAGCAGTGAGTTTATTTTTTTTTTATATTCTACACCAGCCGTACATGGTTATTTCTAAAAAGAATTTGGTGTTTATAAAAGCAATTAAGATCACTGCCAATTTATACTGTACAGATGGTTTACTTTAAAATTTAGAAAACTAGCTCTGGTAGCATAGTGGCTAAGACACTTGCCTGCTAACCAGACGGCTGGCGGTTCAAACCCACCAGCCACTCCTCGGAAGGAAGGTTGGGCAATCCTACTTCCGTAGTGATACTGCCTCGGAAACCCAAGGAGGGGTCGCTATGAGTCGGGTTTGACTCGACGGCACATAACAACAACAAGTAGTTATTTCTGTCTTCCTATTTGATGATACCTGCATAAAATCTAAAGGATGTATTTTAACCCTTCCTAAGGGAGCTCTGGTAGCATAGGGCCTAAGGCACTTGACTGCTAATCAGAAGACTGGCGGTTCAAACCCACCAGCCACTCCTCGGAAGGAAGGCTGGGCAATCTACTTCTGTAGTGATACTGCCTCGGAAACCCAAGGAGGGGTCTATGAGTCGGGTCAGACTCAACAGCAGTGAGTTTGGTTTTTTGGTTTTGGAAGGTGGTAAATAATTTTGAAGATCAAGTCTTTTCAAAAAAATTAAATTAGTATATGCTAAAAAAATTAATTACTTAACCTTCTAACAAGCTTTTATTTTATAACATAGTTAGTAGGAAAAAAGTCCCCACTGAAAAAACAAGTTTTCCAGTATTTAATTCTTATTTATCCTAATACGCAAACATAGAATCTTCAAGACTTAAGCAGATAAACTCATAGACGTTGATTTCCGTGTTACAACAAAAAGATCCCTGTACTGGCTGCAGGAGATCCCACCTAGCTGATATACCACAGTTATTTCTAACCTTCCCCCAACTTTTAAGCAATCAGATTGACTCCACTTTGTTGAACTAAACTGCTCTGCAGTGAACATCTTGATATATACCTTTTCCTTCTTTTGGCTTATTTCCTTAGGACACTGTGGTGGTTATGTTTGTATGTTAACTTGGCTGGGCCTGGTTGAATGGCTGGGAAGCTGGATGTAGTATTACCCATGATGAGACTGGTAA